GCCTTGGGTACTTGGGCGAGTTTATAAGATCCACGTGTCGTTGTACGAGTGGAGGGTCAGATATGGTACAAACAGTAGTCCAATTCGATTCGGTGCCAGTTTGTTGACTTTTAGTAAACATGAATTTTTTATTTATTTATAGTTTTTTCCATTCTGTGCTGCTCAATGTTCCAATTTTTCGGTCTCAATGTCCACCCCTAGTAAAAAGTCCCACATTGAAAAGTTGAGAAACCTTGTAAGAGCTTATAAGGAGTTGGGCTTCTCCCCCATTGTCAGTTGGTTTTGGGATGGGACCTCAACTTCCTTTATGGTATCAAAGCAAGGCTTCACATGTTGGGCCCAACGACCACATGTACTCCCACATCACCCAATAATATGAAGGAAAAAAGTCTCACAGTGGAAAGTTGAGAAATCTAACAAGAGCTTATAAAGAGTTAGGTTATTCTCCCCCATTGCCAATTGATTTTGAGGTGAAACCTCAACTTCGTTAAGGTAAATAGGACGGATGTGAGAAATAACCACAGAATGTGTATTTCTGGTAATAGGAGGAGAACCTATAGATCACGTAGAAGGAAAAAAATAATCAAGATAGTTGGGCCTTGGTGGCCGTGCAATGCATATGGAATTATCCTGGGCCTTGGGCCTGAAAATAAAATAATTGGAGGCGACTGAGCTTACAGACGACAATTATTTTGGGCCTTCTCCGCACGTTCGGTCTAACAGCGCTTCCAAAGTTTCCGAGTTAACTCGCTGGTGTTGATCATTCGCAACGCTCTCTTCCAGAGATACACAGAAATGGTGGTCTCTCTCTTTTCCAGGTAATCTCTCCCCCTTGTTGTTCTGGTTTCCTTGTTACCCGTTTTGACCTTTGCGATTCTAGTTATTTAAATCGCCAGACGGTTGATTTTGAATTCAACAAGATCAGATTTTTTTATATAAATTTTTTTTTAATTTCTCATTTTGCATAATAATTATTGTTTTACTAGGTTTTAATTTGAGGAGCATGTTCTTTGGAGACGCAATGGAAGTGGATTTAGTTACAAGCAGCGTACAAGAGGGAGGTGCTTTTGGAGTTACTGATACTTATAGCAATGTAAGCTTCAAGATCATTTTCATTAAGCTGTAGCACGTAGTCTCTATGTCATTGAAGCTTATTTTTTATTATGTAGCTTGAATTTTTTGAATGAATGATTATATATGGAAAATGCGTTTCTCTTTTTGAAGAGGTGTGGTGAATGGTTGAACCATTTTCATCTAATAAGTCAGACATTTGAAGCTCTAAATAAATGTGTGAACTTTGACTTGCTTATTATTGTGTTACTTGTGGATATGCAAGTTTAAGTTTGGTTACTTGGTTTGCTATCATTTTGGAATCAAATTTTTGGTATCTATTTAATGTGCAGGATAATCCTAATTTCGAGGGTGAAACATGTGGGATATGCATGGATGCTGTTATCGATAGGGGTGTTCTGGATTGCTGCCAGCACTGGTATGCGCTTAAGTGTCTTTCTTTGTGTGTGTATGTGGGTGAGATAGAGAGAGATAGAGAGAGAATCATTTGAACAAGTTTTCATTTTTATTATAAAAGTATTCTGTTGCTACCTTGAACCCTTTCCTCTCCCTTTCTATTACTTAATTAAAGGAAAAAAAATGGAGGAAGGAAAGTGTTCAAACGTGCTCATAAGTTTTCCAGTAGTCATGTATGATGAAACCTACAAGGTGTATCAATATATTTAGAGGTTCATGTGAGGTGAAGTTATCCTTTGGTTAACACCCTTGTTGTGTGGGGCTAAAATGAAAAAATGGGTTGCTTTCCATATGTTATATATATTTGACAGATGAAATTTGTATTATGGCAAGGGTTAACATTGTGATTTTTCAGGTTCTGTTTTGCATGCATTGACAATTGGGCTACCATTACAAACCTCTGCCCACTTTGCCAGAATGAATTTCAATTGATCACATGTGTTCCAGTGAGTGATGCAAATACACGATTCTTTGTTTTTCTTATCCTGGTTATAGTAGTAGTTCTGTTAGGTATGGGATAATATAATGGTATTTATTTACAACTAGTTGCACAGAACAATTGTTATTTTGATTTCTACAACTGGCTGCTTTCAATAGGTTTCTTTTTCTTGGCAAATGGAAATTTTATTTTTTAAGTTATCCTATTGTGATTTGATGCTGGTGCAAAGTGATCCTAAAGCATATGAGATCGGTTTGAATGTGAAGGTATATGATACTATTGGGAGCAGAGTGGACGAGGACTCACCTTACAGGTACTTTGGCAATTAACTATAAGATGTTTAAGTATATTGGTGAGGGTTCATTGTTCACATTTATACATGGCTTAGACTCATTATTTTGTGGTTTTTACTGCCCATACTATTATGTAGTCTTCTTATGAAATTGACATTCAATATTCTGTCCAAGAAATTGCAATTAAGCCACTTATTTATTTATTATTTATTTATTTTTATTTTTATTGTGCCTTAGTTTCAACATAGACTAATTTTTCTGTATTCATCTCTGCAGAGATGATGATTGGAGTATTGAAGGAAAGAATAACACCCTCTCATTTCCATCATACTATATTGATGAAAATGTAATCATCTTTTTTAGATCTTCTTGCAATTCTCATATTTTCTTTCTAAGATTTTTGTTAAAATTACTGATATCAGATTCTTATTTACTCTATCATTTTGTAGGCAGTTATCTGCTTGGATGGAGATGGTTGCAAAATTCGAAGTGGCTTAGTGGCTATTGAGGGTGATTCCAATCTTGATACATCAATTGCTTGTGATTCATGTGACTTATGGTAAACAATCAGTGGATGTGATATATAATCTTTGTCCGTATAGATAGATATATGATTTTATCAAATATTGTTATTTTCTAATTGCTTTTTGACTTGAATGGAGACAGGTACCATGCTTTCTGTGTGGGATTTGATCCTGAGGGCACATCTGAGAGTACATGGTTATGCCCCAGGTAAGTTACATGGGGATCATTGTTTTGTTCATGGGTGTTGCATTGTTGGTTCTTTTGCTGAGTCTAGTGTGTGAATTTTCCTTAAAACTTCAGTTAATAAGCACTTTTCATGCGTGTTCCGAACCTTATCTCTAAGCTCAAAGTTGTTTAATGGAGATGAATAAGCTGTCGGTCCTTTCTGTGGAAGCTTTGTTCTTGTTATGAAATCCCTGTCTTGTCTTGAGTTTGTCAACCAATAAAATTAAACCATCTGATTTATGACTTGAGGACAAAGAGAACCCTTTATGTATACAATTGCTGCCAAGTAACAATCCTTCTAGGCTTGGACTGTTTAGTGCAGCTTTGGTGATCTTTATTTATGCATCTCAGGATTAATAGAGATTTGAATGGAATAAAAATTGCTCTGTTTTCCTAAAATCCTAGGTCTCCTCTTTCATTTCTTTAAGACACTGATACTTTTTTAAATTAATCCTAAATTGTGTATTTTCTGTAGATGTGTAGTTGATGAAATCCCGAAAAAATCAGATACAGATTCAGTACAGAGGTCTAACAGCCAGTATAGCCCAGAAAACGCTAATTGTGAATCTTTAGCTAAGGATAATATTTCTGGAAAGGTATCTGTAGCTGTGGCTGATAGTGGTGAGACAGCTGTTGTAGTCTCAATGGTTGGAGAAAATCAACGCATCGCGGAGCCAAGTAAGAGAGTTTTGCCAACCGTTGAAGTTGGCAAGGACCTGGAGTCTGAAACATTGGTATTGGCTTTTGAGGATAGCCACAAGTTGGCAAGGCCCACTGGGGAAAGAACTATTACCCAGCCAATTCTTGGAGCTCAGGCACTAGAACTATCCCTATCCTGCAATACCTCCAATGTACCTTCAAATTCTTTAGCACAGCAGTTTAGGATGAGTACTGATGGATCAACCAATGAGCTTAGTAGTTTTGATTGCATTGGGAATCCTTCCGGAGAGTCTTTCGATGAATCACACATTAGTAACAAACTGCCTGACAGTGATTCCAATATGGGTCTTGAACTCGGGTTATCTGTGGGCTCGTTTCTGTCTGGTAATTTACATTTTTTTCCTTTTTAAAGCTTGATAATTTCATGATTAGGATAGCATAGAACTGAAGTGTATGCTTTACATGTTCAAGTTTATCTTATTTTTAATAATGTGCATCTAGCTGTTGACCTGAATAATAATGGAACTGAAGATGTGAAGCATCACAATCCTAGAGAAGAATATTTGTCAAAAGGTATTAAGCTGTTTCAGTCATTAGTTGTCCTCTCTCTCTCTCTCTCTCTAGCACTATTTACACAACAGTCATTCATGCTCATTGTTGAAATGTTTCCAGCTGCCATTCTTGTACCAAATCAAGAGACTGAACATTTGAAGTATCACAATCCTTCAGAAGAATATTCGCCGATAGGTATGTGAAGCAGCATTAAATTGTTTATTCAACATTCACTCCTGCACATTGCTTAATTGCTGAAATGTTTACAGCTGATGAGATTGTACCAGATGCTAATTCGGATGCTCCTGGAATTGCTGTTGGTGGAAAGAGAAAGCATACTGATTGCAGGTCACATGTCATCCAAATATATCCGTTGATTCTTATACGGTTTTCAGCAATTAGTGCTCTTAACTTTGTTGCCTCAGGTTTTGTTACTGCTATCCTCATATCATAATCTGCCACCATTACACTGTAGTTTTCCTAATTCAAGTAGGATGCATTGTGTTTTTCTACCACCATCAATTCTGTTGTTACCGAAGTTTTCGTGGTTTATGTTGGATGTATTGTGTTTCTGGTCTCCATAAAAGTCCTTGGTTCATTCAGCTGGCTTGTTGATCCTGTAGTAGATATTGGGATCATAGGGAACATCTCTTTGTATCTTAACGATTCCATCAAGGTGGTTACTATCTTGCTAATAACCACTGCATGATATGGTAGTTTGTAGATAAAACTGAACCAGGATATAGGGGTTCCAAATTATTGGATTATCCACATTAAACATGCATGCATGCAACAGAAATTTTCAATTTCCTCAAAAGCCCATTTTTAGTTGCCCTTTCATGCTAAACATCATCAGTAAAATATCAACAATACTTGTCTAAATCATAAAGGAAATGCCAGCGTAAGTAAATTCAACTGGTTGAACAAAAAATGCATGCTAATTTAAAGTGAGTTAACTATCTTTATGCTTGTATGCTAGCCACGTTTGTTTATTGTCATTTGCCTGAAAGATGTGTTTGTAGTTCAAATGGCAATTTGCTGTTGCTTTTTACATTCTTCATAGCAAATAGAAAAAAATTTCTGACTTTATTTTTCCTTGACTTTTTGAAATAATAGTGATGACGTTCATACCATTGTTGTTGATGATGGAGATACTAACCCTAAGATTGAGACCAAAGAGTCTGTTAAGAAAATCAGACATGAGGAGAAGACTCAACCAATTGTTTCCAATGACCAAGCCAAAGCATCTATATCAGATGACTCTAAAAACTGCTCTAGCCTGACAGTAGTTCCTAAAGATAGCACGTTAACTTTTCATCCTGTTGAGGAGAACATCACTTCCGATATATTGAGCATTGTTCGAACTACAAACCGTAAATCTTCCAAGGGGCTTGCACGCCCTAATCCTGCTGATAAATCATCACAAGAACAAGAAACTATGGCTGGTTTGAGAGTTAAAAAGATCATGAGGAGAGCTGCAGAGGACAAGGACTCATCCATGGTAGTTCAGACACTGAGAAAAGAAATAAGAGAAGCTGTCAGTAACAACTCTTCAACAGATTTTGGCGCAAACCTTTTCAATCCAAAGCTTCTTGATGCCTTTCGGGCTGCTGTAGCAGGACCTAAAACGGAGCCTGTTAAGAAGTTATCACATTTGGCAGTGAAGGCAAGGAAAGCAATGTTGCAGAAGGGGAAAGTACGTGAGAATCTAACAAAGAAAATTTATGGGACATCCAATGGAAGAAGAAAACGCGCATGGGACCGGGACCGTGAAATTGAATTTTGGAAGCATCGCTGCATAGGAACTACTGAGCCAGAAAAAATTGAAACTTTGAAGTCAGTTCTTGACCTTCTGAAAGGGAGATCAGAGGGTGCAGGCACAGAGCGGGAGTCTGATAGGCAGTCCACAAATCCAATTCTTTCCAGGTTGTATTTAGCAGATGCATCTCTACTTCCAAGAAAAGATGATATTAAGCCTCTCTTAGCTCTTAAAACTGCTGGTAATTCAGAGCAGAATGATAAACAACCCACCTTGATTGAAAAGTGTTCAAAGTCGTCTCTTAATGATTGTACTTCAAATTCCACAGAAACGAGTAAGGTTTTATCAAAAGGTGGGATTCCTTCATTAGAGAAACATGGGAGTAAAAGTAATGTTCCAAGCTCAGCCAATGGTGTTGCTTCTAGCAAAGTACATCAAGACAGACACGCAGAAGGGTCTTTGGTTTCTTCAGCTGGTGGTTCCAAATCTATAACCAAGAGGGAAGTGGTTGAAAAACCTGAAGATATAAAAAGTGACAAAAGAAAATGGGCTTTAGAGGTTCTTGCCAGGAAAACAAGTGGTGCAGGCGGGAAAGCAGCAAATGAAAAACAGGAAGGCAACACTGTGCTCAAAGGAAATTACCCTTTGCTAGTACGTAATAGATTTACTTTTAAAACCTTTCATCTTTTCTGTTTGGTTATGCAGGTGATATATCGTATTAAATTATGTTTTGTGGTTGCTTTGAGCAGGCTCAATTACCAATAGACATGAGACCAAATTTGGCACCCAGTCGTCATACTAAAATCCCCTTATCAGTGAGGCAGGTATGAAGTGTGTGCGTGCTTCTATTACATCTCTCCTTAGGTTACTCTTTGAGTTATTTTTAATATGAAAGGAGTGTGTTGCCCTCTGTTGGTCTTTGCAAAATAGAAAGGCAGAAGTTGTTTTAAATTTTCTTATGAGGAAATGGTAGAAAGCAACCTTTCCACATTTTTTTTGTAATCCTGCATGGGGAATGATTCATGACACACAACTGCGTTCACCACCATCTCAATCAAACCACAATGAATTCTTATCATCATTTTAACCGGTGCTACTGGCACTACGACCGCACCAATGCGAACACCAGCGTGACTACCTCAATTACCAATTGTAGTGACAGTGCTTGTCTGCTGAAAACTAACAAATTCATCCATAAATGAAAATTCTAAAATAAAATCTCAATTCAGTTTAGGCTGTATTCTTGCATGGATAGATCTTTAGAGCTGGAACCCAAAGGACACAATTATAGTCAACTATTTTCTTGGTTTATCTATCATGTATTTTAATGTAGAGAATAGATCCATTCAAACAAAGGATATGTTAGTACAATTTACAAAGTTTGCTTTTTCAAACCATTTACTTGTTTAAGTTTCATGAAACTGGAGGCTAATTGGCTGTTTGGACTTTGTTATAAACATCTGCTGTGCAGACACAGCTTTACCGTCTGACTGAGCACTTCTTGAGGAAAGCAAATCTTCCTGTGATCCGTAGAACTGCAGATACGGAGTTAGCTGTTGCAGATGCAATTAATATAGAAAAGGAGGTTGCTGATAGGTCAAATAGCAAGCTAGTGTATCTGAATCTATGTTCCCAGGAGATATTGCTTCGTTCAGAAAATAGGAAGTCTAGTGGAGCCCCAGTACTTAGTTCAGCCCCAACTTCAGTCCCTGCTGAAAGATCAGAACAAGCTGCGAATGAACTTTCAACTGATCCTGTAATTGAAGCAGCACTGAGAAATGCCGGTCTTCTGTCTGATTCTCCTCCAAATAGTCCACATCCCAATATGGAAGTTCCAGTTGAAGAAGATGGCCCCTCATTGGATATCAGAGAGGAAGGGCCTGATAATGTATTTGAGATGGATTTTCATCCAGACCTGGACATATATGGGGATTTTGAGTATAATTTGGAAGATGAAGACTACATTGGTGCTGCTGCTACAAAAGTCTCTAATGCACAACCAGAAGAAGGGGCACCAAAATTGAAACTGGTTTTCTCTACACTTCAGCCTGAAAGATCTAATCATGCTCTAGATCTTGAAAAGACTGAGAAGACTGAAGTACAAAAAGATTCTTCCAGCATGCTTGGGAATCCTACTTATTCAGGTTTGGAACATTCCACCACAGACGGTGGGACTGACGAGTCTTGTGCTCCTTTGGAATCCTTATTCGGTAAAGAAGGTGAAGAGCTTTCTGTTGCAGAGTGTGAAGAATTATATGGACCTGATACAGAACCACTGATCAAGCAATTTCCAGGAGCATCAGAAAAGCAATTGGGATTACTTGATGAAGCTCTGGTTAAAGACAAAGATCCTAAAGAGAATGAAAATAATGAGCCAAAGCCAAACCAATCAATAAAAACATCTGGAATTGGTAATGAGAACAATGCACAAAATATGATGGTTGCCAGTGCTGGTTGCAACTCCTCTGGTGGTGAAGATTCAACGAACCATCCCCAACCAGGTGGAAATGTTGAAAGTAAGGAGAAGAAGACCAGTACGGTCGCTAACAATCAGTCTAACAGCAGCAGTTCTGTATCTAAGAAGGTCTTCCCCAAGCCACTTACCCCGAAAACTTATCTTCCCTTTACGTTGATCTTAAAAGGATTTTACTATGCGTGATCTTAATGTAATTGACCTGGGAGAAAGAGGGTTTCTTCCCCAGTCTGTTATTGAAGCTAACCCATTGTTCCAATGCTTTACAGGTTGAAGCCTACATTAAAGAGCACATCAGACCGCTATGCAAGAGTGGCGTGATTACAACTGAACAATATAAGTGGGCTGCAGCCAAAACAACTGACAAAGTTATGAAATATCATTCTAAAGCCAAGAACGCAAACTTCCTAATTAAGGAAGGCGAGAAGGTGAAGAAGCTCGCAGAGCAGTACGTTGAGACAGCCCGACAGAAGGAAAAAACCGATCCTCTATAACAACAGTTATTTTTGGCTCACAGATTATTCAGAATTTCCACTCTTCTAATTGGTGTAATTTGTAGATAGGAGACATTGTATAAAAACATCCCCAACCCCATGCATTGTATAAGTTGATGAAGAAACTCGTGTCGACACATGTATCCCGGTGAATTTTCATATGCCTGAGCAAAAAGCGTATACAAGTATATCACAATTTATTGTGCATGGCATTTGGACCAAACTTGATACACATGCTACTCATTCCAAAGCGGAATCTATCACCTTACAAATGTTGAGGTTCTTTTGCTTGATTAAAAACGATGCAATCTTATGTGGAATGCTTAATAGATGAAGAGAAATCAGGTTCTGATGCCACAAATATGGTATAATTTCACCGATTTTGTAATTGAATCAGATGACATTATTGCAGATTTTGATCCTGAAAGTGTACTTGATCATAATTTGTCGTAGTTATTATTTTTCCAATGACAAGCAGTGTGGAGGACTCTGCAATATATGAATACATTACACCACCAAAATTGCCAATGAGAGCTCAAGTGGAGATCCTAAGTTGAAAATTTTTATGTAAGCAAAAGAAACACCACCAAAATTTGATACAAACAGACCATGGAGCAAAGGGCTCCAGACGCCACCAGTTGCAGCCCTCATCTAGGTGCTGTTTTCCTTCCAAATCCGTCCGGCAACCCGGAGCTTGAGCTGCTTCCTGTCTCCACCAGAGAAAAAAAGTGCCATGTTACGCTGGATTATGAGACCATCATGGCTATCCCTAACCTTCTGATCGCTATCACGTATGCTCCGAGGGGTTCCTTCCCATATTAGTTTCCTACCATTTGCGCCCACCTCCAGTCGGTAACCAAATTTTCTTGCCTCAACGGCATCACCCATGAAACGAAGGAATGCAATGTACACAGGAGCCATGCCAAGTAGGAAGGCTTCGAAGTGCAGACAAAAGTACTGGCTGTAACAGTTAAACACCTAACAAACATAAAGAACAGGAAGGTGAGCATCTAAAAAAACACACACACACATTGCATCAGTTACCAATCACCATAGATGCCAAAAATTAGAGCCAACCCATTTGGTAAAAAGGCATCATTCTCAATGTTACATTCCAAAAACAAAAAAAAATCAAATTCAAAACATAACTTAGAGCATAAACAATCAACGACTCCAAATCAAAACTTGAACAATGAAACTCCACTTACCATAAGCATCCTTGCTGCATTGTCTACCTCACGGGGATTCGACTTAACATAGAGATGATTGAAGGTTGATCCAATGTGCATGTCAACCTTGTGATCTTCTCGTAGATGGCCAACCAAAAATGGAATATCCCCAACTACTGAGCACTCAGATCCAGGATATGGGCAATTGTATGGTCTAAAGTTACACTGAGCTTCATGTTTAAGTTTGCTGTAGTAAGGGAAGATCTCCATGCAGCCCAAAGAACAATACTTACAAGGAAGTTCTAGTGACACTGCTACCTTCTCCAATGCCAGACATCTGATGTCTCCAAGTTCTTCTCTACAAGTCGGGCACCGGTTGTTCACCCTCAATTTGCAGATGGAGCACAAAGTGTGCCCATTTAGGCACTGCAGAAACAGAAACTTTGAAATCAACTAGCTCCAAACTTCTAAGTTCCAACCAATTTAAGCAGTGAATCAAACTGAAAACTCTAGTTGCAGGCTTAACATCTAGGAAATTAAAACATCATGAAACTCAAAGCAAACCCACAACTCAAAACATCATTTTAAACCAACAAATTAAATTCTCCAAATAAAAAATCATGCCATAAAGACAGCTTCTTTATGAAGAATGAGATAATTACGAATTCAGGCTACATTCTAAGCCTTTATGCCCAAAACAGAATCGGACCCTGCATCAAGGAAATACCCACATCCTAGAATTACATTTCCCAGCCAACCAAAACTCATCACCTAAATTTCAACACCAAATTAAAATAAGCTCAATATCTCAAAGTCACCCAAAAGCAATCATAATCTTACCAAAAACAAAACTTAATGTGACCCCATTCTGATTAAATATGACAACTAACACACACCTGGTGGATTGGTGGGAACATAGAGTTTTTGCAGACAGGGCATTGGAGAAGTTCATGGACACTTGTGGCCGGAGACAGAGCTTTGTTGTGAGACTTGGCTGAGGCCAAGAAAAGATGGTGGTGATGGTGATGGCGACGGCGGCTGTGGTTAGAGTCTCCCTCGTAGATCCCATCACATGTTGTCAAACATTCATCAACACCAACATCCTCCATTGTAATAGCTGTTCATGCAGGTTTGAAGAAACCATAAAATAGAATAAAACAGAAACAAGCACTGAATTTTTATTTTGTTCCTTTGTGTATGTGCTCTGGCAGTGGCAATGCTTGAATTGATAGCATCTAGAACGAAGTAAAGGGGCAGATAGAGAGGAGAGACAGATGGGCAACCGAGGCTTCAAAGAAGTTGGCTGTCTTGGGAGCATTTGTTGAAGGAAACAGACAAGTCTCCATCGGTCCTTCCAAAAATATAATGCCAAAGGCAGTTAATGCTGAAAACAAAGGACCAACTGCACCTACTTAAAAATTGCTTCCCAACCGGGTAAGTTCAGTGTGATCCCTTATGTTTTCAAAATCTAACTTGGAAGTTTAATTATTTTTTATTCACCCCCCCCATATGTGAAGAATTTTCCATTTTGAAATTCTTATATAAATTTCCACCGAAAACAAACAAATTCTTATATTGGAGTGACTCCGAGTAATGGCGGATCCATGATTCTCAGGCCAAGTGGTCACAGTAAAGCTTTGAAATTTTTTTAAGAAAAAAGTAATAATAAAAGAAAAAAGAAAAATAGTACTTCCATCCAAGCTTCACTTGTGCATGACAAGTTTTCCTTTCAAAACATTGCATTATAACTTCATAAATCAAAATAAATTAAAAAATTGTTCCATAATTCTACACCTGTTTTAATCAAAATAAAAACTCAATGTAATATAATTTTTGTTAATGTCTCATCTAAAAATTAATATAACTTTTTTTTATATATAAAAAAGAATATAATTTTTCTTATTTTTCAAGATGGGCTGACTATTTTTGGTTTCAAGTGTAATAATAAAATACTTTTAACCCATATCCAAATGTAATGTAACATAAGACTATCAGTTTTAACTAAGAACAACTAAAAAACCCTATTAGGATACATTAAATAAATTGTATACCTCTTATTATTGTTATTAACTGTTAAATTAAAATCTCAATGTCATCCTATTTTGTTACTATTTGGCAACACCATTTTTCCATACTTAAACTATAGGTCTTCTCTTGACCAAAAAAAAAAGAAAAACACTATAGGTCTTCTTCCCGAGGGAATTTTAAACTAAATTACCCATCTAGTAAGTAAACTTTCACATCTCAAATTTATACACAACCTCTAAATATGGTCAAATTTTATTTGAAACTTTTACACTATGACCCTATGAGGCGACAATCCTGGATCCGCCACTGATTATTATTATTATTTCTGATTTGTTTGTTTGATTATGATTTGCCATATTTAGGGTTTGTGAAGAGAAGATGAGAGTGTAGTAGGTTTCTTGGATTGAAAGAAAAGAGTAATCTTGCAATAGGGTGTAGAGGAGTTTGTGTTTTTCTAAAACTTAATATGAAGAGTGGTGGGGTGTGTGTATAAATGTATTAGGGTTAAGTATTAAGTTGGATGACCTTTTTTGTCTTTTTACACAATAATAAAACTCAAGAGCTTAATGATTTAAGTATTGGGGTCAACAAAAAAAAGTGTGGGGTTTAAATAGAAAAACTCAAAAGAACATTATTTTTTTATAAGGAATAAAATTATAATGTATAGAGACTAGAATTATATTTTTTTTTTATAAAAGAAAAAAGAAAAATAGTACTTCCATCCAAGCTTCACTTGTGCATGACAAGTTTTCCTTTCAAAACATTGCATTATAGCTTCATAAATCAAAATAAATTAAAAAATTGTTCCATAATTCTACACCTGTTTTAATCAAAATAAAAACTCAATGTAATATAATTTTTGTTAATGTCTCATCTAAAAATTAATATAACTTTTTTTTATATATAAAAAAGAATATAATTTTTGTTATTTTTCAAGATGGGCTGACTATTTTTGGTTTCAAGTGTAATAATAAAATACTTTTAACCCATATCCAAATGTAATGTAACATAAGACTATCAGTTTTAACTAAGAACAACTAAAAAACCCTATTAGGATACATTAAATAAATTGTATACCTCTTATTCTTGTTATTAACTGTTAAATTAAAATCTCAATGTCATCCTATTTTGTTACTATTTGGCAACACCATTTTTCCATACTTAAACTATAGGTCTTCTCTTGACCAAAAAAAAAAGAAAAACACTATAGGTCTTCTTCCCGAGGGAATTTTAAACTAAATTACCCATCTAGTAAGTAAACTTTCACATCTCAAATTTATACACAACCTCTAAATATGGTCAAATTTTATTTGAAACTTTTACACTATGACCCTATGAGGCGACAATCCTGGATCCGCCACTGATTATTATTATTATTTCTGATTTGTTTGTTTGATTATGATTTGCCATATTTAGGGTTTGTGAAGAGAAGATGAGAGTGTAGTAGGTTTCTTGGATTGAAAGAAAAGAGTAATCTTGCAATAGGGTGTAGAGGAGTTTGTGTTTTTCTAAAACTTAATATGAAGAGTGGTGGGGTGTGTGTATAAATGTATTAGGGTTAAGTATTAAGTTGGATGACCTTTTTTGTCTTTTTACACAATAATAAAACTTAAGACCTTAATGATTTAAGTATTGGGGTGAACAAAAAAAAGTGTGAGGTTTAAATAGAAAAACTCAAAAGAACATTATTTTTTTATAAGGAATAAAATTATAATGTATAGAGACTAGAATTATCTTTTTTTTTAAAATTTAAAATGAAACAACCCCAACCCACACCTCCCACTTAGAAAAAGAAAAGAAAAGAAAAACAAAAAACAGTACCTCCCCATCTTCTCTTTCATAGTTTCAATCTCTACAACATCCACCCCAATCCTCTCTCATCCTCTCATTTTCTCTCTCACTGCTGATACCTCTCTCTCATTCTCTCACATCTCTCTCTCTCTCCAAAATTAAAACTCACCCCTTGCCATCACAGTACCTCCATCAACCCATCTCTCTCTCTCTGGGGACTTTCGTCGAGCACATTGAGTGCATCCAAGGGGTCAACAAGCTGCTAGCCAAGGGGTCTGCAATTGCTCGCCTAAGACATCCACAACCAAATGCCGGCATCCCAACCCCTCTTGTCCCTTGGTGCCTCTACTCCTAATTCCAAGGTAAAATTAAGCACTATATTGTTGTTCATAAGCTTCAGCAGGTTTACTCTAAGTTTCATGGACCATTAGAAACTCATATTTGGGTACCAAGGAATTGAGAGGTACTCTTGATCATAAGATTTGATGTATGATGTATTAACATTATACTTTAATGTATACCGATGCGTATGTAATTTCCAATTAAAGCGCGCTAAAATGGAGAACAAAGACATGGAATACATTATATATGCCTTGTGAAGGCTAGTTCTGATATGCATGCCTCCTGGAGGAGGCTATTAATGCAAAATGCCAAGGGGGATGTGCTTAAGCCCGTAAGGGAGTCACCTAGGGAGGTAACCCAACTTCTGTGATTGGCATCCCATGAAGGAAGTTCAATGTGGCAGAAACAATCCATATTGCGTGACTCATATAGCACTCATAAAACTATGGAGATATCCTTGAGATATTCTTATGCTCATCCCTAAGGCAAAAGTGCTACTTTATGTGACGTCAGGAAGGGATTTATCCCTGAATGAGTTTTGAGGCTGGCAAACTCCCGCAGGGTGCATGTCACATGTACTCTTGGAGAACTCACCTAAGTGAGAGACGTCGTGAGGCCGTGACTGTGAGAATTGGGCTATTATCTAGTAACTCTCATGAGAATCAAGTTTAGCGCATGGCCATAAATAGCGCTACCCCACATCCAAGTCTCAACCAATACTATGTGTGGGATATGTTGAAATTTGGTCAAAGGTGTCGAGTTCAATACTTTGTACACCCAGGTTCCTCAAATTGAGACTATCATCACTAAGTGAAGGTTCAAGCCCGAGAGACACCTATACCTATTGCATAGTATTATGTTGCCCATATATAAATATATATTTTCACTATTTTTTTTTTCATGGTAAAATTTTGAAAACCTTGTGGGGGATTGTTGGAATTTTAAAAATATTTTAAAATTTTAACAGTTTTTATTTATTTATTATTTTGGATGTTTTATTTTATTTATTGTGGGGGTTATAAATATTTAATTTTCATGTTTTATTTCTACTTAATTTTCTAGTTTAATATGGTGAAGGTTACATGTTATTGGATGCCTATAAAAGGCCACTCCTCTTTCACATTTGAACAACCACAACACCATCAAAATATCACATACCACAATGGGATATGTTGAAATTAGGTCAAAGGTGTCGAGTTCAATACTTTGTACACCTAGGTTCCTCAAATTGAGACTATCATCACTAAGTGAAGGTTCAAGCCCGGGGGACACCTACACCTATTGCATAGTATTATGTTGCCCATATATAAATATATATTTTCACTATTTTTTTTTTCATGGTAAAATTTTGAAAACATTGTGGGGGATTGTTGGAATTTTAAAAAGGTTTTAAAAATTTAACAGTTTTTATTTATTTATTATTTTGGCTGTTTTATTTTATTTATTGTGGGGGTTATAAATATTTAATTTTCATGTTTTATTTGTACTTAATTTTCTAGTTTAATATGGTGAAGGTTACATGTTATTGGATGCCTATAAAAGGCTACTCCTCTTTCACATTTGAACAACCACAACACCATCAAAATATCACATACCACAATCTGATTCTCTCTTCTTCTACCTTTTATATATATTCTCTACTTATATTATTAGTTTTGGCAACGGTTCTGTGACTTGGATACCTATATCCATCTACGAACGTGCTCATAGCGGATCCTGAGTTTGTGTAGATAGACACAACAAGCGATTGGACTAGCATGGAGGAGAGTACAGTAGCGAACCATGAAATCATAGTATTGACTTTTGAAACCCATTCAGAGAGAGAGAGCTAAAGGCTAGAGAAACTCATTTAAAGAAATCCAATTAATGGCTGTTATTAAGAGTTGCTCACTATCTTTTATTTTTAAGTTCTTAGGTGACTGAAACTGCTTATAAGTGATTATGGATATGAGAGTAAAAATCTGAGAGTACTATGGAAAGAAGTAATTGTTGGAATTTTAAAAAAGGTTTTAAAAATTTAACCGTTTTATTTATTTAATTTTTTTGGCTGTTTTATTTTATTTATTGTGGGGGTTATAAATATTTAATTTTCATGTTTTATTTCTACTTAATTTTCTAGTTTAATATGGTGAAGGTTACATGTTATTGGATGCCTATAAAAGGCCACTCCTCTTTCACATTTGAACA